TGCGCCAACAGTATAAATATGGATTGATAGCAGAGCTTAAAAAAACTAGTGTTGCAGTACAAAATATTGGAATAGAATTAAAGACTTCCTTGTTCTGCCGAGTAGCTATGTGATAGGCAAGTGTGATAACGAATGGTATGAGACATAAGATGAACAGCCCATGAATGTAAAACATTGTGGTGATGGTCCTGCCTTGTCTGACAATCGGGATATTCATCGATCGCATCTGATCAGCGATTTGTCTCTTATGTCGTCCTACGGTGCGGTAAATGTTAAAATAACAAACTATGGTAATAGTACAATTTATGATGGAACATACCACCACAATTGCACTCACCATTTGCATGTCTCCTTTGTAGAATATCCCCAGAGAGAGGGTGTCACACAYCCACATCACTATGACAATTGCAACCATTCGTCTGGTCGTTACGACAGCAAGGTACCTCATGTGAAGATAAAGTGCAAGGCAGCGATCCAAGGCAATRCAAGTCATCGTAATAATCGAAGGTGCGGTGAAAAAAATACTAAAGGTACCAAAAATGTCAGTTAGATTATSTCGATGTTTTTCATYTATGATATAGGTGATAAAAAGTGGTTGGAGAGCAAGGCCAACACCCAGATCCGAAAAGGCAAGATTGCATAGGAGAATATTGGAAGGACTGTGAAGAGAAGGTGTYCTGATGATGGCCAMGATCACAACTGCGTTGCCAAAAACCGTGGTTAAAGCTAGCACCATGTTAACAAGGCYTAAAAGAATCSTTATGGCCAGCATGWTGGTCTCSRGTGTGCTSTGARCTAMCAAGAGCTTAGTCATCAATTCACGTYGGCTCCAGTAAATATCAAGTCAAGTATCTGKTCACWGCTGTCTTCACGAKGAGATACTGAAGCAGTCCYAGAGTTGACGGTTATGTAARCTACCAACAACACTGGCGTGTTTTATTTCTTAAAACTTACAGCCAATATCTGCATTGCGTTGGCCTTCAAGATGGGATAAAAATGACCAACGAGGCCTATAGAAAGGTTGTYYATTGTRGCATCTGCTTTGAATTGCGATCAAGTTCAAGATCAAGTACTAAGAGTTTTTTTGTCTTAAAACTTAAGAGGAAATTTTTTTCAATAATGAGCAATAATGACAAAAAGCACCAAAAACTAGACTTTCGTATGAGTTTTGAAATGAAGGCCTAAACCTCATTTTTGAATAAAAGTTTTGCTTTGGGTTAACACTTTGATTCCACTTTCATCGGTCATCTCCACTTCCAAACGAGTTAAACCTTCTGAATAAAAAGATTCAGTTAGCCTAGTTGTACAACAGCCTTTCTTCAGGAAAATAGGAAATAGGCGCTCACTGCTTGAATACGAAAAGAATTCTCTCTTAAAGCCAATATTTCGTCGCTTAAGATGGGATACTGTTATGAATGCGTTCTTGAAGATTGCACAAGAAATCACTCGCGTTTGGCACCAATATGAATAGAGAAGACAAACCCTTACGATTGGAAGTATAGCTAAAAAGACTGAAAAGAGCCCCTACAAGTGAGCTCTTAGAAGGATGAGATGTAGTAATTCTACAGCACTTGAACAAATGATTAACTCTTATCAGAGGAAATTTAATCTATATTGAAACAGCTGGTTGGCACTTTATATGAAAGAGCCAGGACATGATTGATTGACTCTCGATCTGCAAGCGACCAAGAGAAAACAAACAAAAGTAAATAAGGAGTTAATGAGAAAATCCAAACCTTAATGTTTGCACTTGCGTACAAAAACTATCTTGTACAAATAAAATAATAAAGTTGTCTTGCATTATTCAGTATTTTTTTATATCTTTAGATCATATTTTTCGTTAATGATCTATTTCGAGGGAAACTGCGAGAGCTTGCCAATCAAAATCGAGAACCATCCTTTCAACTTTGAATACAA